TGAACTGGATCATGCAACAAACAGTGAGGAGCGAGAAGAGGGGCATGCGCTGTTTGACCGATGAAAAGACCCTCGAAGATTTGGATTTCGTCGATGACTTGTTTCTAATATCACGCAAACTTGAAGATCTACAGGCAAAAAATAACAAGTTGACAGAAGAGGCGAGGCAGGGAAGCGAAGACGGGACTTCAAGTGAACGTAGATAAGACAGAGGTGATGAAGATATCCAACCAACACTACCACCACCACCATCAACAACAACTCTAATCACCATCAACGGGAGAAACTTAAAGGAAGTAGCCTCTTTCACCTATCTAGGCAGCACTGTTTCAACTACAGGCAGTGGCACACACGAGAACGTCAAAGTCAGAATCGTAGAAGCAAGACAGGCGTTCATTAACCTGAAACCAGCATGGAGATCTTCTGCACTCAGCACAATGCGTGAACAACATCCGGATTTTCAACACCAAAGACAATCAAGTCAGTGCTTCTGTGTGATGGTTCAGAGACTTGGTGCGTTGCGAAAGGCATTTCCAACAAACTACAGATATTCATCAACAGCTGCCTACGCTGGCTGGTTACTGAAGATCAGATGACCGGAAAGAATAAACAGCAAGGAACTCACTCTGGCAACGAAGCAAGAAGCTATCGTTGAACAAATATACAGAAGGAAGTGGAGATGGATTGGATTGGGCATACACTGAGAAGGCCGACTGGGGACATCACGCGCAAGGCCAGGGCATCGAGTGGAACCGAGATGGGAAACGACGAGTTGGGAGTCCGGGGTGAGGGTGACATGGAGGAGATCGTGCGAGGAGGAAATGAGAGGTTGTGGGCTGTCGTGGAGCCAGGTTGAAAAGATTTCAAAGAGAGTGGAATGGAGACGTGCTACTGAAGCCGTATGTTCCATTAGGAATCCAAAGGACAAATAATAATATGATAAAAAATCTCGGCGTAGTATATTAGAACGAATAAGAAAATAACCAAATATTTTGTATGATTCCTCAACGTTTCGATCTTACTAGGAAGATCCTTTTCAAGGGTATGAATCTGACATCAAGTTTTCAGGGTTTTGGTACAAAAGGTGACCTTTACGATCATCCAATTACATCATGGTATGCAGCAAAGGTCAATGTAATACCGGTGAGTGAATAAGCAAGTCGGTCAGAGAGAGAGAGGCTTTTTCCTGTTGTGCGAGTAAGGTGGAACTAAAATAGGGTGAGGAAATTTTTTAGTTCGTCTATGGAAAGTACAATGGGGTTGGGATATATCAAGGGTAAGAAAGAAGAGATTACTAGTTTTGAAGGATGAATATTTGAACATCAGACAATATAATATAATAAATAAATAATTGTAATGATAACCATAAATGTACTTTTGATAACACTTGAAGTATGGGTGATAACAAAATGGATTATGTTATATGTAGAATGGTTCATCGAATGTATATAACTCAGAAAGTGGCGTAAAATTGATGAAAATAGTAGATCAGTAAAGTGTTATGTAATAGGAATAGACAAGTTGTTAAAATGCAACCATTATTTTTTGACGTGATTAAGACGATCCAGCAAAATGACACCGGAAATTATTCAAGCAAGAGTAACTTGGGAATAAATTATGTGGAATGAAGTTGTGTTCTACCTTCTCTTCATGTATTATTTATAACTGTCTAGCCGAGTCATTGATGTCTGCCACCATCTAGGTGGGATGTCTAACCCCTTTTCTGTTGACCGAAGAAGGATATGAACAGATGTGCACAGCTTCTGCAATGGTCCGCTCTTTGGGAGAAAGAAAACTCTTTTACAGGACTTTTGTCTGTTCGAATGATATTTTATGACCTAAATATAGGGCATGAGCCGTGATGGCAGAGCTTTTTTCAAGTTTTTCTAGATCATAAGAATCTTTTGGTGGTTCCTTGGAACTTCGACCGTATTCGACTAGACTTGTTAATATTTGACTTGATGTCTCTCCAATGTATGTGGCATTGCATTCACTACAGTCTACCTTAAAAACACAGTTCTGTTCTTTTAATTTACACAGGTGTGAGTGTAATGTATTCATCACCTTAAAGAATACTCTGATGTTGTAACTATTAAGGATAAATCTTATTTCCTCTGAAGTGGATGTTCGATAAGGAAGTACTATAGTACTTATCCAATGACTTTGCTTTTTAGTATCTTTATTCGATAAAATTTTCTCAATCCTTTTTGATAGTTTTTCCGGATGATGCCGAAGAAAAGATTGTATCTGACCTTAGCGTTCAAAAGAGATGCAGTTGCGGAAACACTGACACTGAAACTAAGATATCTGATACAAAAAACCTCCTTTGCAGCCACACCATGTTTAAATTTACTACTCGTTGTATGATACCAATGCCATTGAAAGATAGGCTTCCGAGTCTGGCCATATCTATGTACTTCTGTGGAGATGGTTGCATATGTAGAACGACTCGGCAAGCTCACCATCTCATCGTTGAACACTGTCCAACGTGGCTAGGCAACGGAACCGTGAAATCCATCAAAAGCTCAACACTCTCCCATGCAGTAGATACTGAGCATAAGATCGTCAAAACCCTACCACTTACTGTTATTTACAAAGTGCCAACACAACACTAAGTTTGTGCACCTCCGGTTGCTGCCCGAGTTAAAGGCGACCCAGCAACTGACGAGACACCAATTACACTCCTTTATTTTATAGAAAAGTACTTTTCCAGGTGAAATATCAAAGCCTGATTGGTCATTTTAGTTGTTGCTAGGGTAGTCTATAAAGTCACTCCGATTGTTAAGCCTGACAGAAATCACAGCAATTAAATTTTTTTTAACCGTAACTATGTGTTCAGATGTTCGTTCGTTCCGTTTCCCTCCTATGACTTTCAGCCCAGATACAATGACAATAAATTCTCATTATCATTTGACTATCTGAGCCATAGTTTGGCAGACTAGTATTTATATTGGTGGTCGCTGGTTCGAGTCCGGCAGCAGTACAGATTCTGATCTCACCTTCAATCATCGCCCAGTATGGACAATAAATTTCCTGAATAACTTTAAGTGTCACCCTAGCAACTGTTGAAATAACCAATTGGATTTAAGAATTTCGGCTGACGTCAGGTTTTCACAAAATAACGAAAAGCAATTGGTTGTCTCAACAGTTGCTAGAGTGGCCTTTAAAGTCACTCAGTTCCTTTCTGGTCACCCGGATAAATGTAAATATTATCTCTGTTTGTATTCTTATCATTACCATTTTGTTTCTCGGCCTCAGTTTCATAACTGATTAGGAATTTTAACATGCCGAGGAGTCCCATACTAGGACGAAACAGCTGTTTAGTGTCCCAAGATTTTTAATGATTCCCCAACTGATGTCAGTCCACGAAGACTACTACCTTTAAATTAAAAATCCCCATTCATCTCAAAATACATTTTATTATCTAATCGCTCTGCGACAATAGTTTTATTTCCCTCTATCTCTGCACACACACACACCTACAAGGATTGACAACTGAGAATATATAAACTTCCCGAGGTTTTGTTTTGTTATCACCTTTACTATTATCTTCTAATTCATACACCCGGATTAATTTAACCTTGTTGGTATCAGATGACTACGCTGAATAATTCATAAATGTAGATGTAATGCCTGACAAGAATTTACCAAAAATGCATGTTCGTTTCAAATTTTGTCTTCTACTCAAATTTTATTAGTAGGCAAAATAGTTATACCCATATCGAAATTGTTCGTGTTAATTTGTGAACTTTTAGTAGTACACTTAAAAGAAACCCATCATATCATAGAACAAATGTTTGTTTAAGCGATAAGAATTCTCTCCCAAGAATTCAATTTACAAAACTATACAGTCGTAGCATAGGAACTGAGAGACTGAGATGTAGGAAGACATGCTTGTTATTAATATTTTGTACAGTAGTCATCAAAAATTGCACTTTCCATTAAGACAGTCATTTGCACAATGTACTTCATTTCCTCTTCTGCTTCTATTTTGATTTGCTCTTAATACGCCCACATTGTCTCTTACGTTTCTCTGGGCAGAATCTTTACCCACTGTTGGTGTTTCCCTATGATTTATGCCACCCTCTGGACATATACTACTTATTTCCATTCTGATCAGCGCCGTTTACAGTAGTGTAGTATTTTTTTTTAATTTTCATGTTTAGTTTTGAAGGTTGTTGGGATTTATTGATTTCAGGTTGATATTCGCCATCCTACTTATCACCACTGACTCCTTTTTAACATGCCGGCCACGTGACCCGAAGGTCCCGGGTTCGATCCTTGGTGGGGTCATGGGAGCGCACTCCTAAAGAATCCCATACTAGGTTGAAACAGCCATCTAGTTCTCCCATGTTCCCAAAGTCCTCTAATTGGTGTTAGTCAGTGATGAGTATCCACTGGAAGTCAATTTATATTGTGTTGGCTTTTGAGGAGTTATAATGATAGTTATTTGCTTATGAATATAAGTGTAAGACTTGGGCAGTAGTAGGATGTAATTTCATATTAAATTTGTTGATTTGATATGACGGTATGATTTACTTGATGAAGTCACGAGCATAAATTATCGTTGGTATTTATCGCGGACTGATATCAGTTAAACGAACACTGGAAACCTGCGAGCACTGGACGTCTGTTTCGTCCTAGTATGCAACTCCTCAGCAATGCGCACCCAGGACTCCATCAGGTATCTTTAGATTCTGACCCGGTGGCTCAATGGTAACGTACTGACCATGAAACCAGAAAGTTCTGGATTAGGTTCCCCAACCTGAAAAATCACTAAATCTCCACAAACCTCCAAATTCATAAATTATTGTTCATAGTAATATCAATGTTATTTATTCCACAAAACATTTTTGAAATTGATATTGTACACAATCCATTTGGAAGCAGAATAATCAAACATGGAACTACATCCTGGCACAATACCCAAATTCTATTAATATTATTATTACCACTTATCCCTTGGGTTCCTAATGGAACATACGGCTTCAGTAGCACGTCTCCATTCCACTCTCTTTGAAATCTTTTCAACCTGGCTCCACGACAGCCCACAACCTCTCATTTCCTCCTCGCACGATCTCCTCCATGTCACCCTCACCCCGGACTCCCAACTCGTCGTTTCCCATCTCGGTTCCACTCGATGCCCTGGCCTTGCGCGTGATGTCCCCAGTCGGCCTTCTCAGTGTATGCCCAATCCAATCCATCTCCACTTCCTTCTGTATATTTGTTCAACGATAGCTTCTTGCTTCGTTGCCAGAGTGAGTTCCTTGCTGTTTATTCTTTCCGGTCATCTGATCTTCAGTAACCAGCCAGCGTAGGCAGCTGTTGATGAATATCTGTAGTTTGTTGGAAATGCCTTTCGCAACGCACCAAGTCTCTGAACCATCACACAGAAGCACTGACTTGATTGTCTTTGGTGTTGAAAATCCGGATGTTGTTCACGCATTGTGCTGAGTGCAGAAGATCTCCATGCTGGTTTCAGGTTAATGAACGCCTGTCTTGCTTCTACGATTCTGACTTTGACGTTCTCGTGTGTGCCACTGCCTGTAGTTGAAACAGTGCTGCCTAGATAGGTGAAAGAGGCTACTTCCTTTAAGTTTCTCCCGTTGATGGTGATTAGAGTTGTTGTTGATGGTGGTGGTGGTAGTGTTGGTTGGATATCTTCATCACCTCTGTCTTATCTACGTTCACTTGAAGTCCCGTCTTCGCTTCCCTGCCTCGCCTCTTCTGTCAACTTGTTATTTTTTGCCTGTAGATCTTCAAGTTTGCGTGATATTAGAAACAAGTCATCGACGAAATCCAAATCTTCGAGGGTCTTTTCATCGGTCAAACAGCGCATGCCCCTCTTCTCGCTCCTCACTGTTTGTTGCATGATCCAGTTCAACACAATCAGGAAGATGATCGGTGATAGTAGACAGCCTTGTCTCACTCCTGCCTGTCTTCATTTCAAAAGCATCACTGAGCTTCCCATTGTGAATTACTTGGCATTTAGCATCCTTATAAAGCTACCATTGAATGAGGTTGATCAAGGTTTGTGGAACTAAAACTGTAGTGTCGAAGCAGCTGCCTGCCAAATTACTTCTCGGTCGACACTGTCGAAGACCTTTTCAAAGTCGATGAAGTTGAGTTGACTGCCATTCTATGCTCTGTTCTATGATGGTGCATAGTGTAGCGTTGCAATCTGATCCGCACATGATTTGTACTTCCTGAATCCAGCCGGCATGTTTCGGTCGCATTTGGAACCGACAGTATCTTTCAGTCTCTCCAGGATGATGTGGCATAATATTTTGCTTGGTGTGGGTGGACAGGAGAATGATTCCACGCCAGATCACGCAAACACTTATGTCTTTCATTTTTGGCAGTTTGACAAGTTAACCCTTCTTCCGATCAATAGGCAGGTACCTTTCCTTCCTTCCTTCCTTGGAAACCTTCCGCAGCAGTGATGTGAGCATATCCGCTGCTGATGTCTCTGCGTCTGTTTTCAGTGCTTCTGGAGGAATTCCATCTGGTTCTAATGCTTTCCCGGATTTCAGCAACTTCATGGCGTTCACGACTTCACTTCTGTTTTTGTCGCAGGGCCTGTGTTCACTGGTAGTTCTGCCGTTGCTGGTGGTGTTTCTGGACGAGTTGCAGTTGGTGGTGGTGGTCGATTCAAGAGTATTTGGAGTGGCCAGCCCATTGTTTCCTTTGTTTCTCCTCTTTGGTGATTAGATTCCCTTCATCATCTTTTATTGGTTTCATCTGTGTTGATCTCTCCCCTCCCAGATAGTAACCTGGTTATTCGATACAATGTTGTCAGGTCTCTATCTCTCCTACCTGCAGCCTGTTCTGCTTCACTTGCCAGTATGTCGTGGAAGTGTCTTTTGTCTTTGCGCACACTCTTCTTCACTTCTTTGTCCAGTGTGTGTAGTGTTTTATAGGTTGTACTCAGTTCCTCTTTTCGTTGTTCATCCCTGCATTACACTCCACTGCACTGGTTTATCTTCTGCTTCACCATCTTCATCTCCCTCTTCATCAGCTTCCATGTGTCTGTTGAGATCCATTCCTTGTCCTGACTTCTTTCTTCTTCCTTCCTAACACGGTTATGCAGGTCTCCTCTCCTTCCACGTCGCCTTCACAGGGTTCCAGTGTTCTTGCTCCACGCGGGTTTCCTGAGGGATGTTGCTCGATATCTCCCATTTTGTCCTGATGGCTGACTGACGTGAAGATGTCCAGCGTAGTTTCGTCCTTCAGTTGACTTTCTGTTCTGGGTGTTGAACTTCAACTCTGGTTGTTTGTCTATCACCAGCTTCTTTGAAGGCTTTCCACTTCATTTTGAAGGTAGGTTCCTTACACTAGATGGTGAGTGGTGTGAACCTACATCTGCTCCCCTTGTTGATCTGATCCTGTGTGTGTCCAGTAGGCTGCGTCTTCACTTTCTTCACATTGAAATGAAGTCGATCTGATTTTTGGTGTAGTGTGTTCTGGTGTCAGGTGAGATCGATGTCGCTCGCCTTGTGAATATCCTTATGTTTGTACACACTGTCTCGCCTCCAATCACTAAATCGTTGGAGTTGCAGAAGTTTGCAAACAGTTCTCCATTCTCATTCATCATTACACCGGGTGCCTCTACCCATGATGAGTTCTCTTCCCGTGTTGTCTGCTTCCAGTCTGGCATTCTTGTCACCCCACCCATTAGAATTTTGATGTCACCATCTGATGTGGGGTATTGTCTATTACTGATTGCAGTTGTCTGTAGAATCCCTCCTTCTTCTCTCAATCCGCATTAATATTAGTGGTTGCGTAGCACTGTATGATTGTAACTTTCTTTCTTTTCGAGTTGAATCTTGCTGTCATCATCCGGATCCTGATCGTGGTGGAGATTGGTTCCCACTGCATGAGAGTGAGCCTTCGATGCTCTTCAAGGGGACATCGTGATAGCCACTCCAGAACTCAGTGTGCTCGTGGTTGTCGTCTAGGTGACAATATCGGAGTGGATTATTGACTCCTCTCCAGTTGACAGTTTTGAGAGTCCACTTCCATTCCATCTGTTTTCGCGAATTCCTAGCACTTCAATTGCTTTACCTTCTCATCTCGTTTGCAATCTGGGCAGCCTTTCCAGCCAACCAGCTTCAAACATGGTGCGGACATTCCATGTCCCCACGTTTACTTTCGCTTTCATCGAGGGAGAGAAGACACATCGGCCTGGCTAATTGGCTTCCCGAAGGCAGGCTTTCACCAACCGGCGTCATTTCGTCTCTCCGATTCCAGCGAGGAGTAATTTTGTTTTTATGTTTTATATTTTGTTTGTGGTTTGAAGTTTCTTTAGCGGTTGGATTTGTTTTCCAGGGGGAAGGGTTGCTAGCCATGCACCCAATCTTCTCTCTTTATCCGGGCTTAGGACCGGTTAGTAAACTAATGAACCAGCATAGTAGGGGAGTTTCGTTGCTAAGAAACTTGGTTAATTTTGATTTAAGTTGCTTTCGCCCTTCATTTTGTTTAAAGCCCATTGGAGTCAGTCTTCTCACCAATCACTTCGGAGGACGTTGTAAAAATCCATTGACGTTCGCTGACCATCACGTCTAGGTTACCGAGTGTCGTTACCGTTTCTCTTACAGCAGACTTAATATCAGGGCAAGTTTTCTCATGATGGGCAGTGTAGTTACGTTCACATATACGCTTAACTGACTCCTCTCTTACTACGTACTTCGTGTCCTCATCTTCCACTTGAGCACTGGTAGGCCTCATTCCTCCGTTCAGTACGGTGAAGACATACGGGAGCGAGTTTACAGCCTCATAGGAGACAAAACTGATACCCGAAAAAAAAGAGCTGCGATGCCTAATTGATGACTTGTCTTGTCTTTCTGCATCCGTCATTGGTTTGATGTCGGCGGTCACCATGTAACAGTCACTTATGGTTGAAGTTAGTGCTGGTCTGAAACATGTAATTGTCGGAACGAAATTGCATCAGATGATCACCGTTATCGTTTTGTTGGCATAGGATACCATGAACATATCCAAGATGTCTTTCCGATTAGCTCAGCTTCCTTACTTGAGCATTAAAGTCACATTTCAAAGTGACTAGATCTGAACGTTTTGCTTTCTGTGACAAAGTTGACAGCTTCTCATAGATATCTCCATTTGTATTATCTAAACTACAGTCCCAGTTTTAACAGATTCATTCAATCAAACAGCATATAAAACACTGTTGATTGATATTCAGTTTAGAAGCATATTTTCTGCCCTACAACTCAATATCATACCTATACCATCGGCTGATCGAATCAAAAAACGAGAAGCAGAACTAAAATCCGGATTAGCAGCTGGAGAGCAAGATCTGAAAGTAGCGGGTTTTCGTGTAGTGAGGTTTCGGCAACAAATGATGCCGAAGCCTCTATGGATAGGACAGAAACTCATTTAAGTAGTTTCGTTGTCTTGTACACAAATGCACGTAGTCTTTTAAACAAGTGGAATGAGCTCGGTAATGTGATAAGCAACGAAATCCCTGACATCATTGCTATCTCAGAAACTTGGTTCTCTTCTTGGATCAGTGACTGTGAAACACGAGGATTCATCCCTTTTAGAAGTGACAGGTTACCACGCAAAGGTAATGGTGTCATCCCTTACGTTAAGAATAACTGAACTGTAAAAGCCGTAGAAACAGTTGCACATGAAAGTGGGACAAGTGAAATGCTGCGCTGCCGACCAAAATGCAAAGGGCAAGATGTTAACGTAATCGTGATATATCGAAGCCCTGAATGTGAAGCGGCAGACTTTCTCCTGAATAAGCTGACTCTCTGGACAGATAAATGCCGATGTTTAGTTGTAGGAGACTTCAACGCACATAAGTTGACTGGGACAGATTTACAACAAAAGCACCACGAAATTCGTTTGACCACCGGTTAGTGGAAACATCAATTTCATTAGCCCTCACACGGCACATCAAGACACCAACCAGATATGATCATCAGCGTGCTCCATCAGTTCTGAACTTAGTATTCTGACATACAGATGATGTGTGCTTCATCCGGCACCTAGCACCCCTTGGCAAAGGTGATCAAGCTGTGATCATCTTCAGATTCACAGCAGACGTCTTGTACCAGGTCAATGCCCCAGCTAAACCCAACATGTGGAGAGCGAATATGGAAGCTACCAACCTGGCAGCCTCTTCAGAGGACTGGACAGTCATTCCAGAAGCCTCAGTTGAAGATGCGTGGTGCTCCTTCAAACATGTATATGCACGAGTGACCCAACCATTCATTCCGTGTACTGTCCGGAAGGGACGGAAACACCGTCTTCCGTGGATAAACCATGAAATCCGAATCTTGCTACGACGTAAGAAAAAGTGTTGCAGTCTTGCCACCCACCTCGGTACACCCGAAGTGGTCAAGCATCACAAAGAAGCTCGCGATAAATGTGTCGCTGCTATCCACCGGTCTCGAATATGCTTTGAAACACGTCTTGCCCAGGCTGCATTGCAACATCCCAAGAGGTTATTTTACCGTATGAATTATAAAAATAAGATGTGTGGTGGTATACCCGCCCTAATCAATGGGACAGAAAATGACTGTTTGATTGAGGACGATAGAGAAAAAGCAGAAGCCATGGCTGGATATTTTGCTGAGGTCTTCACACAGGAATCCTCTGAGGACACTTATCCAATAGTAGAAGCATTGATATCCAACAGAATAAACTCTGTGAATGTCGATCGTGATGACGTATTTCGAACATTAAGTACTCTCCATGTGGAAAAACCAACGGGACCAGATGAGCTGCTCAGAGAGCTTGCACTATATGTAGCTGGCGTACTGACTACTATATTCAGACTGTCTCTCAGTGAAGGTACACTCCCCTATGACTGGAAGGATGCCATAGTAACACCTATCCACAAAGCAGGTTCTAGGCAGCTTCCATCAAATTACAGACAAACAAGTTTGACTAGTACTGTAGTGAAAATCCTAGAAAGACTAATTAAGAAAGCTATCATAGCCCACCTAGAGAGCAACACTATTGTCTCGTTCATAGCACAGTTTTCGCAGAA